TTTTTTTGTAATATTTTAAATAAATATATGAATAAACTCAATAAAACAAATGAAATAAAAAATTTCACCGTTCATCAATAGATAATTTAATTTATATCACTTTTGTATCAATATTTTTATGTAAAAGAGTTAATTTTGGGACTTTCTTATATTAAGGGTTCCTGATCATGCTTACCTGTTGATAATAACAAGGGAGATCACGGGACTTTTCTGTGTTTGAACCCTGTTAGCCTCTCTATCTGAGCCAATAGAACCTTTAATAAGATATTAAATTTTTCTTATACAATTTACAAATACATTGTACAGTACTTCATAAAAATCAATTATAAAGATTAAGAAATAAATAAATGAATAAAATTTTATTTCAAATATATTAGTTTTTCAAACGGAAATTATTTCGTGTAAAAGCTATACAGATCGATAGCTAAACAGGTAGTTCAAAAGTCAGTTAATTATTGAGTGATTAAATTGTTGCCATATTATGTAAAAGAAAAACACACTGTTCTAAAAGATTTCTATTCAGAATTGTATCTTGCAACAAACGACACGGTTAACTGATTTTTGGACTACCCGCTATATAAAAGCACAAACAATATTTTTCCTTAAATTTCGGAATAACAAAGCATACGAATCAAAATTCATAATATTTTGGCAACTCGGCATTTAATTAGGACAATTTTGTATTTAATTAAATGCCAAGTTATTTTAAAAGACGCACCGGTTAAAATTATATCATTCATGTGATTAGAATGTTCGATCAATAGCAATTTTGATTAAAATTGTTTAACTAATAGTAATGAAATTCGACAGTTAATCTACCTGACTAGTGATAATTTAGACTAAGGTTATTTGGCCAATAGCAAATTTAGATTAAAATTATTTGGTCAATGATAATGAGATGGATAATTAACCAATGACAATGAAGATTAAAACCATATAAACCAATGACAATTTATTAAAATTAACATCATTTGTCCAATGATAATTTAGATGTCATATTATTTGACCAACGGCAATCAATTTTGCAATTGATGCATAAAGACTTTTTAACCAATAACGATATAAACTAAGATTATTTAACCAATAATAAATAAAAAGAGACAATTAACCAGTACGAACATTGAACCAATGACAACGAAGGCCGACAATTAACCAATAACGACTTGAGAATATTTAACCAATGACAATTTAACGCAACAATTTTCTTCAGCGTACAACAGATGGAGCCGTTGTGGCGTCGAAGGAGGACGCCATCTCGATGTGACGCCGCTTTAATTTTCCGTGCATCACACCAGACACCGACGACAGCGCCACGAACGTAAAGCGCAGCGTTCTATCAGTAACGAGTTCATTACGTTGCTGACGGTGCCTAATGTCAGTCACCGTATACTATGGACTTTCCTTCTTGCATTAGTTTACGTCTTACGAGACCAGACTGACATCAACAACTGTTCGGGACTACAGACTTACGTTACGTCACGTCTGAGGTGAGTTGTGTTAGGCTTAACGTCTTATGCCCCGAGCTGTTTTCTCTAGTAAAAGTACGTTAGCCCTAACGAACTAAATGCTTATTGCGACCTTAACTGGCTTAGGTTAATGAACTTCCTTAGTTAAAGATATACCATGTTGGTGTTTATTATTAAAAGATATGACTAGGTAAAGGTGGTGAGTCATAGCGTTAATCGAAAACTAGAGTATTACTGATAGGATTATGGCATCGATGTTATCCCTGGAAGGGGGCCGAGTTCTTTTTACCCATCATTCATTGCAGCCATTGTCCCTTGCAAGGGGGAGAAGGGTGTTATTGTCGTACGATTCTGTACAGAACTGAACATATTATCACACGGTCCGATCGGCCCGTTCGTGCGTTTGGCTTAACTCCGTCTACGTTTCGATTATATGAGGTCTAGATCGAATTTTTCCCCCCTCGTCTTCCTCCACCTCCTCCTCCTCTTCCTCCTTTTTTCCTTCTTACACCGTTTGGGAGAAATTGAAAAAGTGACGTAATCTGATATACCGTATAGGAGTTATATATCGATAAGGGGGTACTATAAAGTACCGAGCTTAAAGTCTGTGTTTTGTTGGAATGGTAAATGCGGAAAGGTGTCGAAATTTTCCAAGATGAGATTTTTTCCAGTTTTCTATAGGATTTAACGTGTTGATAATTGGGGGAAGTATAAACACACGAATGTAATATGGAGACATCCAAAGATTTCGGTTTAAACATCAATTTTCCTATTATGGACACAAATAATTCAGAAATAAAATAGAGTAGGAATATAATATCATGTAAAAAGTTATGAAATTAGAAAAATCCCAAATCCCTTAAATTAATAATATAAGGATAGGTGTTAAATTTATGTGAAACTAGTGGATTTATTGATGTTATGATGACACACTGTCTGAAATCTCTAACCATTAGTTAAGGTGCATTTGATGTTATGATTGTTAGATTATTATAATAATATAATGACTAGTGAAATTGCAAAGAATAAGGAATGACAGTTTAAATTAATGAGTAATAAAATTAATAAGGGGAGAGGAGTTTTTATAGGTAAACTCTGTTGATTGTTTCTCAAATAGGATGTCTCTCTCCTCTCTCTCTGTATGACTAAGCTATCTGTTTTCAGAAAGATTTGTCTAATATCTCTGCTTAGATAAAATGACTCTAATCTATGATTATGACTATATGAGTCTAACTTATCTATTTTTAGATAGATATGATTCTAATCTATAACTTCTCATACAGGATATTCTAATATATGAGTGTCCATTCTCAGATAGGATGACTCTAATCTATGACTCTTTTCAAGATAAGGTGAAGCCAGGTTAACTCTAAATCATGACAGAATGAAAAATTGTATTATAATATTAGTAGAGTATTTACACTTATAATTTTGAAAACTGTATTTTCAACTGTCCTATAATAGTGTATATATCGATATTATAGAATAACTGTGTTTCCAGAAATGCCAGGTGTTAACATGACTGACAGAAGGATTGTCAGGTGTTGAAATATTGTTCTGTTGATCATATTGAGTATGATTGATAAAACAGCGGAAATAGAACATCGAATATGACTGAGAAAATACCGGAAGCTTATATGACTGACGGCATTGGGAATATAGATTATGACAGTCGCAATACCGATTAATGATTATGACTGACAAACCCTGATGATGCCAGATTAATGATGCAGTGCAGGCGTAAGACTGACAGATTTTAATATATTTGACACTAGAACTGATATTTTGAGATGTTAACTGACAGAATTTTTTATCTCTCTAAAGATTAGTGAGGAAAATAACGCTTTGGAAAATTATAACTCTAAACAAGATTAAAATGTTGAGAACAAAAGATTTTTTCCCCTTCCTCTTCCCTTTACCCACTTTTACTGTTTAATAAATCCAATACAAGGGATAAATTACTTAATTTCCAAATTTCAATTAAGAATATTGATCCCGTCCATTTACTACACAAAGAAAATAATTACATATATTGTATAAGGCATTACGAGATTAATATCGTTAAAATGGTTGGTTTAACCATTAACGGTAATCTTATAATGGCAACCATTCGGTCAGTAATTTAATAACTTACGTCCTTCATTAGTCATTATGGAAGTTTTATGCCTCCATGTTAAGAGGCATAACGATTTTCTAATATAGGGCATAATTTTAAATGAAAGGCCCAATTTTTTTTATCTTAAAATTTAAAATTAATTTAAAAACTTTTAAGAGCTGAGTTGTCAAAGTTGAAGCATCAACAGGGATGTTGAGGAATTTATAAAGCATGCTAAGAAATTAGTTTTTTAATATAGGTTGACGCTTTTAGATATTAAATTGTTTTAAATAATTAAGATTTAGAAGTTTATTAGATCTTAAAATTGAGTTGTAACTTTAAATGTTATGGATTTTAGTTCATTTTAACATATAAAAATTTATATTTTTGAACAGCTATTTTTAGAAAGATATCCACAAGCTGTTTAATAAGATAAGGTTATTTAGGATAGTTTGTAATACTACATATTTCGTCAGTATTTTCAATATATGAAATATGTTATTGATTAGAAGGCCTCATTAAATACTCTGTAGGCATAAAATTTGAAGAGAAAAATCATTACAGTTGAATAATCTTCGGGATTATTTTTAGAGAATAAAAAAGTTATTTTTTGAAAGAATTGGGTTATTTTTGAATGAAAATTTGAAGATATTTCTGTAACTGTGGCATTTGTGTTTGTCCTTGTTTTGCCATTGAGACCTACTTATTTTTCCTCCACTTCAAACAATACTCTATCTGGCTAATTTGGATTGAAATAACAGGTCAATGCACCTGGTAACAAACTCTAGAAACACCTTTAAAGGAAATTAAATAGGACAAGAAGATTTTCTGAAGTTTTTAACATTAAAACATATTTATTTTTAAAATAATTTTATTAAATATTAAAATAAAGAATAAGAAATTCCAAGGAAAAGGTTTACTTTTGATAGAATCTGGTGATTGACAGACATGGACCGAGTTTGTATTCACCAGTTGTGTGTAGCTGACAAGGTTAGTCCTTATTTGCTAATGTATCAGAATTGTGTTTCGACTGACTAAATCGGTTCTTTGACAGAATAAAGTTGAATCTCAAACTGTAATCGTGATCCTTAGCATTTATCCTTTCAAATATTTTAACATTATCCAACCAAACGCACATCTACTTCCTATTTTTCATTATTTCTTTATTTGATTAAAGAAAAGGCGAAGATAAATCTAGAAAATTTTAAGATTTTCTAACGGATAGACGAGCCGATCTACTCTTAATTGTTCCCATTGCAAGTTAATAGCGTTAATTCTTAATTTACACTGTTTTGTTTTCGAATTGGTGAACAATTATCGGATTTAATTTTCTGGAAAAATTTAAGCGGCAGCAACTTAAAATAGTGTTTTATATTGTAATCCTATGCCAAATAAAATAAAATAACGCGAGTAAGGATTGATAAACTAATGCATCTTTCATAAATCCACACAATAAAATGAGTGACAGTTATCGACATAGATGTCATGTCGTTCAACATCCTTCATGTTAGTGTTATAAGAACCAGTCATATATAGAAAAAATGAATTAATGGTTATATCTTCTACAGTCGTGTGCACAATCTAAACATTTCTAAGCTACTATAACACTATATATTCGTAAGCTTGTATTGTAATTTGTTACTAGAACATTAGTTATTCGCAACTCTCTATTATATAATACAATAGTGTTGCTTATTCATAGATTATGTGAAGTTGTTAATATAAAACTGCCAACTCGTAGATTCCTATAAGGATGTTATAATAAAACACTTAGTTGTGGCATTCTCTAAGGCTATTATCACATCAGTACCCATTTGTAGATTTTTATTAGGATATAACTGTATTCACTAATCACTCTCGGATTCTATTCGAATGATACTATAAATGTAATCACTCGAAGATTCCTAGTGGGTATTTCAATCGTACATTCCTGTAAAGATGTTATTACAATACTACTCATGAAGTGACACGCACAAGGATTTTATCTTAACACAACTCACTCATAAGGATGCTACCATAATATTACTCATTCGTAGATACAAGGATATTATTACAACACATTCCAGATTCTATGGGCGATCCCATAGAACTCTAGACTAATCATAACTCTACTCACTCGTAAGCTCCCACAGTAACTACGCTGCCATATCACTATTTAATTCTTAAAATTCCAAACATAATTCTTCATCTCATTATCATATTACGCAACGAGTAAAGAACGAGACGTTTTAAATAAAAGAATCTTTTAATTCCAGGAAATATTTAAATAAACAAGCAAATAAATAGAACAATATTTACTTAAGAAATATTCGAGTAAATTTTGTTTGCTAAATTGTTCTCTTACAATTAATTTTCGTTTATAAAACTATTTTTAGAAGTGTTATTTCATTTTTTGAAAAATAAAAAAAAATAAAAATAAACTTTTGTTTTCTCAAAAATTCTCTCTCTCAAAAGAAATAAACGAACGAAAGTAAAAATTTTTAAATTAAAACTATAATGTATTTCATTTTATAAAACTTTAGTTTTTAATTATTTTGTTTAGCGAATTGTTTCTTCTTTCTTCTATTCTTTTTACCTTTTATTTTATTTAAAAAGTGAAAATTACATCATGCTGTAATTATCTTGATAAGATTTCTGTAAATGGAAACTTAATATCTTTCTTAATTTACTACTATCAAAGTGTTAAAAGAGTAAAATAAAAATGCCAATCTGCTGTGAATATCATTTGATATCGATAACAATCTCGCTGATATTTTTTTAATTTGAAGTTTATTTTAAATCGCTGACTTAATGTCTCATAATTACGTGCTTAATTATTTTTTTTTAAAAATGATTAAAGTAATTATATGATAGAATATTTATTTTAAATGCTAAATTCTTACAAACAGTAAGTTGCGATCAGATTGATTGGAGCTTCGTACGGAGCTGATGACTAACTTGTAAGATCTATGCTGGGTTTTGTTAAGATCTTGTCTATTTACTGATGTCTTTGCCTATTTTTTGATAAAATCTATGTCCATTTTGCTGAGATTGTGCCAAATTTTTAGAATCTGTTCCTATTTTTTTTTTTAATAATCTGTTTATTTTTGCTAACTTTAACTATTTAAATATCTTCTTATAAATAGCCAAATATTGAAATTAACGTTTCATTTGAATCATATGCCAATAAATTCGAAAATTAATATATTAAAGCAAAAAATTTTTTAAATTGCGTTTTAAAATTATAAATAATACTTTTAAGATTATTCTGTTAATTATATTAAGTTTAATGAAGGGCTACGAGTTAATATTATGTTGCTCATCGACCAAATATAGAATCTATCATTACAAGCACCATATTTAACAATACAATTAGAAACTATTTTTACTTGTATCAAGATATAATTCATTATACGTGTTACATTTTTAGATGTTCATCAGACAAACGGATGTATGTTAGGAGGTATGTTTCTATTTAAGCAAACTTAATGAATTGAGTGAAATATATTTGTTATATTTAGATTTTTTTTGTAAGATGTAATGAATATATCATTAAATTTATGAAATTATTAATTATTGTCTCAATAAATGGTTTAATTTTTAAAATTTTTCCAATGATTAACGTCAACAGACTTGTAGTTGTTTGTGACTCTCTTATATTCTAACATTATCCTAACTTTCCCATTTCTTTTGTTCATCATAATAATGTTTTAGCTATTGCTCATCTTGACATTGTGTTGCCTTTTACATATCTTAATGTTAATCTTATTCTTATATATTCTAAGAATATTATAAGTGAAATTAAAGATTATTATAATTTAAAACACGTAACATTTTTCATCTTAGCTTCCATCTTTATCATGAAAAATTCATTTAGAATGAGGAAACAACAAGAATTCTTACACATAAAAATCTGCTGTATATATATACAGTTTGTATGTATTGTGTGTGTGTGTATATATATATATATATATATATATATACACACACACACAATACATACAAAGGAAATTTTACAAGAGACCAAACCACATCAATCTCAGATTTTTGTTAATATAATGTAGATATCATCAAAACAGATTAAGTAAAATTAAATGAAGGAAAGGAGGAGAAGAGGGAGGATAAAAAATACACGAAAATTTCATTTAATGAAATCAAACTTCATTTAGTAACAATCTAGTATGGTTAAAGTTTGATTTTTAAAAATACGTTTGTAACGATTTTTTGGGAAGAAACTAAACTCGTGTGTGTGTGTGTGTGTGTGTGTGCCTGTGTTGACTGGCAGAGTTCCAAATTTCATTTCTCCACAATCTAATTGGAGTTGTAGACTATGAAATGTTTGGTTTCCTTAATCCCATGTTATAGCTTTCATTGTTTGCTAAAATAAGTTAGAACATTAAAATGCTACCAAAGGTATAAAAATATGGAAAAGCAGCAGCCAGCAGCTCGGATTTTTAAAATATGATTTCATATTTTTCCATTCTTTACATTAATTTTGCTGTTGTAATATTTAAGAAAAAAGAAATACAAATTTCTAAATCCCTTATCTTCCTTCAACATTGTTAAATTTATTACTGGATTTTCATTTGTGATATTATTTAGATGAATTCTTTCACATATTTTTCGTTGATTTTCAGAATTTGATATATAAGCAGGGCCTGAGAGATGAGACATAGTCCGAGTTTTGACAAATTTAGTGAAATCTATAAAAATGTATAAATAAAACAGATTTAATAGAGGAAATTTTAATTTGTAACAGTTTCTTGTATTTATTTATTACACACAAGATTAAATTTGGTATTTCCTCTTTGTTCAGAGCCTGGCAAAACGATCCTACTTGCATCTTTTCTTGAGCTTGTTTATATATAGTTATCAGATAAGAATACATGTAGAAGAATGTAAAAGAATATTATAAGTTCAAAATGAGTTGGTATAAATTAATTCTATGAGTAATTAGTGCCAAGTGCGGTTTAATTATTTGGTACAAAATTTAATAATACAAGAATTCAGCAATTTAAAAAATACAAAAAATATATGCCCAAATTAATTTTTACAGTTATGCACCAAGTGAGATTGGTCTGTTTGACGCAAAATACAGGGTGGCTCAAAAGTCAGTTAACTCTGTTTCGTTGTTTGCTCCAGATATACTTGTAAATATGAATCGAAAACAGATCAGAATAGCGTGTTTTGCTTACAAAATTGATGGAAACATAATAAAAACACGACTAATTATTTAAAGAAGAAAGTAATTTAGTCTTTACAATGGTTAATTGATTTTTAGCTCATCCTATATATCATATACTGTAGTTTCTAAATTATATGGTACTGTCGAAGAACTCGTGTAAATATTTTCTAAATATTTGGCGATGAATATTAATCCTTTTAAGTATAATTTTGTAACCTCCATTAATATATATATATATATAGGCTATGTATGCCTTCTTGTAAATCAATTTTAAGTAATGACATGTTTGTTTATATTAGTTGTTATGAAGATATATTCCTTTACTATCGAAATTAGTTTTAAAATATTTAAAAACCTAGATTATTACTGTATTATATCAATAAATTTTTAAGTTGTCAGTCAAAGAATCGATCAATGTCAGTCGTCATAGAAGAATACATACGTATTTTTTGAAGATCGATTTACTAAAGTTTGCAATGCTTTTGAATAAACCTACGAATAAGATAGGTTACCTTAAAGTTTAATGACTTTATTTAAGCTTAAAGTTATGAATATTTGTTCGTATTGATTGAGAATTTATTTATATATATATAGGATGATCCAAAAGTCGGTTAACTGAGCTATGCTTTGCTTGTGTTGTAGGTACAAATGGGAATACGAATGGTAAGCTGAGTTTAGAACACGTTTTCTTTTACAAAATTGATATCTGGAGTTAAGTGGTACCACTACTGTGCTATTTGTATCAAATTCTACCAGTTTTGGTACGCCTCGTAACAAATTAAATTATCTTATTTGCAACCAGTTGTGCTAAAATTGCCGTTTTATTTTGTAATCGATTGTACCAAAATTGCTGCCTTATTTGTAACAAATTAAATCAAATAATCGGTAAAATTGATTACGGAATAAAACAGCAATCTAAACTCTCCTTTTCAGTCGTTAACTGACTTTTGGGCCGTTCTATATATTTAAACATGGCTTTCAATATCTCAATATTACCAAATTTAAATTCCTCTTGGAAGGCGTTTGTAAAGAATGAGAAAATTCATTCGATCATTCATATTTGCTTATTACTGTTTATTTTGAAATGAATCAACCGGCAGGTATTTAATTTCTCTTAAAATTTAAACATTCAGTCAAATAGTTGTCTGTCAGTCATTGCTTGATAAATTCGAGTGAAGTGAATTTATTAAGCTGTATGGCCTATTCGTTTCTATCGTGTTTTGAATATTTCAAGGAAACTAATTTCGTTTCTGGCAATCGCTCTCAACGTATAAACTCCATTGAGTAAAGTTATGCTGGAAGCTTGTCTTTATATTATGTTAAACGTGTTTATAAACTGTCCGGCATATGGCGAGGAGAACATACCCATGGACCACAGAATGCCCAGCACTTGGGCAGTTCCATTTAACTCGAGGGTGGGAAATTTGTTTAAAGAGGAACGATTGCTTAAAGGCATAGCAAAGGTGTTTCAAAGACGAATAAAATTTTTTCACTTTAAAGTAAATTATGGCGATAGATTTTTGTGATATTGTAAGAAAAATATCATCATCAAGACGATAAAAATTATTTTTAACAGTTTAAAATATTTCCATTACTCATTTGCTCAGCGTATTTAGCATTTAATTTGCTCAACACGTGCTGAGCACGCATTGCATTACCCATTTTTTTGTTCCTTTTTATTCAATAAATCTTAGCTTTTTAAAAATAAAATATTTAGAAAGTAAGTTAAAAATGTATAGAACACGATTATTTTTGTTTATTCGAGTGTTTTAATTTAACGAAAAATTTGAGTGTAAAATTAAAATCGTAAGTTTGTAGCGTATATAAACATTTTTCATAAAATAAAATAAAAAAGTAAAATTAAATACCTTGTCGAAAAGATATTTTAATAACTACCTCTTCATAAAATACTTCTAATGTAAACTGTGTTTTAATAGTCTCTACAAAGTAATAATTTCACATATAAATTTTAATAATGTTTACTCACAAACGAAGATGTATGTAGGTCATACCTTAAAATTATTTCTCAACCATTTCATTAATTCCTAATTTT